ATACAAAACTAAAACTGTATATGATGCAACAAGGAAACTTTGTCAGTTTCTATGGGATGTTTTATGTTTTTATTTTCTTATATTTTCTCGTTTTTTTTTTTATATGACTGCAGGACTAAGAGCATTACGAATATGCAAATGGACACATGTTTATTATTTAAAAAATCTATTTTATATTCCATTCAATTTTAATATGATCAAATCTTTTAAAATAAATAAATTAAATATTTATACAACATATTGTTTATTTTTTACAATGTTTTTTGGCAACAAACTTTTTAAAACAATTTCTAAAGAAAGTAAGGACTTAAACCACCTTAACACTGACATAGTCGCAACGTGAGTAGAATAACAGAAAAACTATAGGAGTTGTTAATCTATTGATCAAATGACTAGACTATAGACTAGACTATAGATTAGACTATAGCCTAGACTATAGACTAGACTGTAGACTAGTCTATAGACTAGACTATAGACTAGACTATAGCCTAGACTATAGACTAGACTATAGAGTAGACTATAGACTAGACTATAGACTAGACTATAGACTAGACTATAGACTAGACTATAGACTAGACTATAGACTAGACTATAGACTAGACTATAGACTAGACTATAGACTAGACTATAGACTAGACTATAGACTAGACTATAGACTAGACTATAGACTAGACTATAGACTAGACTATAAACTAGACTATAGACTAGACTATAGACTAGACTATAGACTAGACTATAGACTAGACTATAGACTAGACTATAGACTAGACTATAGACTAGACTATAGACTAGACTATAGACTAGACTATAGACTAGACTATAGACTAGACTATAGACTAGACTATAGACTAGACTATAGACTAGACTATAGACTAGACTATAGACTAGACTATAGACTAGACTATAGACTAGACTATAGACTAGACTATAGACTAGACTATAGACTAGACTATAGACTAGACTATAGACTAGACTATAGACTAGACTATAGACTAGACTATAGACTAGACTTTAGAGTAGACTATAGACTAGACTATAGACTAGACTATAGACTAGACTGTAGACTAGAGTATAGACTAGGCTATAGACTTAGTTAGTTAGTTAGTTAGTTAGTTAGTTAGTTATTTAGTTAGTTTAGTTAGTTAGTTGTTAGTTAGTTAGTTAGTTAGTTAGTTAGTTAGTTAGTTAGTTAGTTAGTTTAGTTAGTTAGTTAGTTAGTTAGTTTCGTTCGTTCGTTCGTTCGTTTAGTTCGTTAGTTCGTTCGTTCGTTCGTTCGTTCGTTCGTTCGTTCGTCGTTCGTTCGTTGTTCTTTCGTTCGTCGTTCGTTCGTTCGTTTCGTTCGTTCGTTCGTTCGTTCGTTCGTTCGTTCGTTCTTCGTTCGTTCGTTCGTTCGTTCGTTCGTTCGTTCGTTCGTTCGTTCGTTCGTTTCGTTCGTTCGTTCGTTCGTTCGTTCGTTCGTTTCGTTCGTTCGTTCGTTGTTCGTTCGTTTCGTTCGTTTCGTTCTTCGTTCGTTCGTCGTTCGTTCGTTCGTTCGTTGTTCGTTCGTTCGTTCGTTCGTTCGTTCGTTCGTTCGTTCGTTCGTTCGTTCGTTCTTCGTTCGTTCGTTCGTTCGTTTCGTTCGTTCGTTCGTTCGTTCGTTCGTTCGTTCGTTCGTTCGTTCGTTCGTTCGTTCGTTCGTTCGTTCGTTTTCGTTCGTTCGTTCGTTCGTTCGTTCGTTCGTTGTTCGTTCGTTTCGTTTCGTTCGTTTCCGTTCGTTTTCGTTTCGTTCGTTCGTTCGTTCGTTCGTTCGTTTCGTTCGTTCGTTTCGTTTCGTTCGTTCGTTTCGTTTTTCGTTGTTCGTTCGTTCGTTCGTTCGTTCGTTTCGTTCGTTCTTTTTCGTTTTTTTCGTTCGTTTCGTTCGTTCTTCGTTTCGTTTTTCGTTTCGTTCGTTCGTTCGTTCGTTTCTTCGTTCGTTCGTTCGTTCGTTTCGTTTCGTTCGTTCTTCGTTCGTTCGTTCGTTCGTTCGTTCGTTCGTTCGTTCGTTCGTTCGTTTCGTTTCGTTTCGTTCGTTCGTTCGTTCGTTCGTTCGTTCGTTCGTTCGTTCTTCGTTCGTTCGTTCGTTCGTTCGTTCGTTCGTTCGTTCGTTCGTTCGTTCGTTCGTTTCGTTCGTTCGTTCGTTCGTTCGTTCGTTGTTCGTTCGTTCGTTCGTTTTTCGTTCGTTCGTTTCGTTCGTTCGTTCGTTCGTTCGTTCGTTCGTTCGTTCGTTCGTTCGTTCGTTCGTTCGTTCGTTCGTTCGTTCGTTCGTTCTTTCGTTCGTTCTTCGTTCGTTGTTCGTTTCGTTCGTTCGTTCGTTCGTTCGTTCGTTCGTTCGTTCGTTCGTTCGTTCGTTTCTTCGTTCGTTCGTTCGTTCGTTTTCGTTCGTTCGTTCGTTCGTTCGTTCGTTCGTTCGTTCGTTCGTTCGTTCGTTCGTTCGTTTCGTTCTTTCGTTCGTTCGTTCGTTCGTTCGTTCGTTCGTTCGTTCGTTCGTTCGTTCGTTCGTTCGTTCGTTCGTTCGTTTCGTTCGTTCGTTCGTTCGTTCGTTCGTTCGTTCGTTCGTTCGTTCGTTCGTTCGTTCGTTCGTTCGTTCGTTTTTCGTTCGTTCGTTCGTTCGTTCGTTCGTTCGTTCGTTCGTTTTCGTTCGTTCGTTCGTTTCGTTCGTTCGTTGTTCGTCGTTCGTTCGTTCGTTCGTTCGTTCGTTCGTTTCGTTCGTTTTCGTTCGTTTCGTTCGTTCGTTCGTTCGTTCGTTTCGTTCGTTCGTTCGTTCGTTCGTTCGTTCGTTCGTTTCGTTCGTTCGTTCGTTTCGTTTCGTTCGTTCGTTCGTTCGTTCTTTCTTTTCGTTTCGTTCGTTCTTTCGTTCGGTTCGTTCGTTAGTTAGTTAGTTAGTTAGTTAGTTAGTTAGTTAGTTTGTTGTTACCCTGTTTTTTTCTTTTTCTTGTAGTAGGTAGTGTTCTAGATAAAAAGTGAATGTTATTTTTAATTCAATATAAACAAAAGCAGTAAAAAGAAACATAATTTATCGCCATTAAATAGCAACACAGAGCAAACCAATTAAAAAGGATTTATTTTTAATGCTGACCAAAATTTGAATAATGACGAACTGAGAATTGAGAATATATGTATGTATGTTTGTCCTTTAGTCCTTTTGTCAAATTTGTGGTTGTGTTTTTGTGTGTGTATTGAATGATAAATTTATTTTTAACTACCACAAAAATATATGTCCTTGCGACTGTTAATACAAGTGCCCTTTTACTTTTTGCACAAAAAATTTTAAAATGTTATTTGATTAGATTAGAAGCATGACAAAAAAGTCAATCAATTTTGTATGCTTATGCGTTCGTTTTTTTTTTTTTTTTTCTCATTAAACAATTTTCTTGTATGGAATTCTCAGATAGTGTTGTCTTGTGGATAATGTCTTTTCAATACTATTTCTATGCAAATTAGTCTAGAGAGTTAATTTAATAAGGCAACAAACAAATATTCTTATATACATACATACATTCATACGCATAAATGTAAGAATAAACTAGAAAATACATTTATGTAGTGCACTCTACACTACAATCAGAGCGAATATTGGGCTCAAATTGTATTCGCGGTAATTTGGTCAAACACTAAAATAATATTTTGTAAAAAAATTAACCAAATAGTCTTAGTCTAGTCTAGTCTAGTCTATAGTCTAGTCTATAGTCTAGTCTATAGTCTAGTCTATAGTCTAGTCTATAGTCTAGTCTATAGTCTAGTCTATAGTCTAGTCTATAGTCTAGTCTATAGTCTAGTCTATAGTCTAGTCTATAGTCTAGTCTATAGTCTAGTCTATAGTCTAGTCTATAGTCTAGTCTATAGTCTAGTCTATAGTCTAGTCTATAGTCTAGTCTATAGTCTAGTCTATAGTCTAGTCTATAGTCTAGTCTATAGTCTAGTCTATAGTCTAGTCTATAGTCTAGTCTATAGTCTAGTCTATAGCCTAGTCTATAGTCTAGTCTATAGTCTAGTCTATAGTCTAGTCTATAGTCTAGTCTATAGTCTAGTCTATAGTCTAGTCTATAGTCTAGTCTATAGTCTAGTCTATAGTCTAGTCTATAGTCTAGTCTATAGTCTAGTCTATAGTCTAGTCTATAGACTTGTCTATATTCTAGTCTATAGTCTAGTCTATAGTCTAGTCTATAGTCTAGTCTATAGTCCAGTCTATAGTCTAGTCCATAGTCTAGTCCATAGTCTAGTCTATAGTCTAGTCTATAGTCTAGTCTATAGTCTAGTCTATAGTCTAGTCTATAGTCTAGTCTATAGTCTAGTCTATAGTCTAGTCTATAGTGTAGTCTGTCTATAGTCTAGTCTGTAGTCTAGTCTATAGTCCAGTCTGTAGTCTAGTCTATAGTCTAGTCTATAGTCTAGTCTATAGTCTAGTCTCTTATCCTTGGAGTTACCTCTATATTACCGCTAAAAATGAGTCAACGGGGTTAAATCAATAAAAATTTTAGATCGAATATTTCGAAATATTTGACACAAATTTTTAAAACATAAATAATTTCTTTTTATTTGTTTTGAAATCTACACCCAAAAATGCTACTTCACTACAGATCAGTATCTCTAACGAATAAAAAATTTCTATTATAAACAATTATAAAATGTACCTTGTATAATAAAACTTTTAACAACTAAACGACTATCAGTCTATCACGACGTCAAAATCATATATCAAAAGTCACCAAAGTGATTCACGCGCCACAGACTCTTTAACTGTAAAAACAAATGAAATTGATATTTGCACAAAATTATGTCCATATGTAGATTTTTATATTTATTAAAATTTTTTTGCAAAGGTCAATTTTTGTTTTAAATATTTTGAATGAAACATTTCCCCGCTTATCAATTACACAAAACAACAACAAAAAAGTGCTTATCAGCTTAAAATGTTTTAGAACTCGTTTTGCTAAAAAAATCCAATGAATGACAATGCGAGAATAGTATTTTGCAACATTTCAATAAGTGAACAACGTAAACGCTAAAATCGAAAAACATGAATCGAAAAAATTTTAAAATGAAACTCAAAACGAGAAATGCAATTATTGTCGTTGTATTTTTGATATTAAACTCTAATGCAAAAGTATTGAATGCAAATGCTAGTGCACAGAATTTCACATACATTTATCGGAATTATTTGAGAAATATGATCAATATTGTAGATCATAATGAGCAGCCATGTGAAAACTTTTTCCAACATGCTTGTGGTAATTTTGAAAATTTCCAAAAGGGCATAATAACAGGGAACGAAAGTGAAGAGCAGGAGGATATTTGGGAAAGTGATCAAGTTATTGAGCCGTTTCTTTATAATAAACAAGATCATTACACCTTCTTTGAAACACATAAAGAAAACTTCAATACTGTACCTGGTATGTTAGTACGCAATTTATACGATCTCTGTAAGAAATCTCAAAAAAGTCCAAATGAAAAACGTAAAATGTGGTTACGAATGATAAACGATATACCCTTCTTAAAGCATGATCATGATCTTTTGCGGAAATGGCCATTTTTGGAATACCAGTGGCAGAAGTATCGGCAACAGTTGGATTTGAATTGGCCAGCTTTGGCTGCAGAATTTAGTGCTCATGGCATGAATACATTTTTCAAAATATACTTTGCCGAAAATGCTATATACGTTACACCAAATGATGATCTTCAATGTCTGGATTTTAATGATTTTAAACAGAGTCTAGTGACCTTGCTGGGACGTCGTAAAGATCAAATAGCCGATATTATAGGAGGAGAACTGTGGCTGTTGTGTCGCCAACTAAAAGGTGAAGTGACCATTTCGGGGGAAATAGATGATATCGCAAATCTCTTAGTAGACGATACCATGAGTGAATTCTTTCAACGCTTATTTCCACGTCTGAATTTTACCGAGTTGGAAATTGAAAATGCACGTAAAATTATGATATCCACCGATAAATTAAGCGAGATAATGTCTCTACTGCGCTACACTAATCCACGCGTAATCTATAATTTTATACTATGGCAAGCTTATCAGCAAATCGCCAATATTGAAGACTGCTTTTCTTTAGCCGAGGAATTTGACAGTCTTTTGCAAGTGGAATACTGGAATTGGTATGCTTTTAACGCACATTTTCGTCGGGAGGTAGCATTGGCCTCGTATCTCTTTCACACCACCAGATTTCAAAAGCATTATCGGGAAACTATTATGAGCTCGTCGGTTGAGCGTCTTTTTCAACACCGCTCAGAACGCAAAGATTTGAATATTGAAAGATCCATTAAAAAGTATGTCAAACAATATTTAAATATGGAAACATATACATTAACCTACAAATCGGAGTTCTTTACAAATGAAAAACCTACATTCTATTCATATCTTTTGGAATTACGTAGACTCAAATTGCGCTACGAATTCTTAAATCCCTATAAGGACACCGATGATTTGCACTTTTTCCAAGAGTTTATTAACTTTTCTATTTTATTAGTATACCGACCTCGACTTCACTACTTCGCCTCGTATGATCGTGAAATGTGGCAAAATTCTAAAATATTAGAAAATTCAGATGGTTTTTATTCAGCTATCGATTGTTTAAGTCATCAAACCTCTTTAAATATGGAAGATTTTGATATATACCAAGAACTAAGTATGGATCAGGTTAACGATATCTTTAATTTTTATACTGCTTTTATTCAGTCACTGGCAGATTATAAATTCTGGTTGGAAAGTGAAAATTTCGCTATTGCCGAAGATTTTATATTGGAATATTTTAAACTAGATTCAATGCGTGTTATGTTCTATGCTGTAGCTCAACTGTTTTGTGGTCGCAACGATGCTAGCTATAGTGCATTAATTAATCGTAGTTATATGAATATGCCGGAGTTTCAAGAGGCATTTAAATGCAAGTCTATTGATGCAATGAATCCCATAACAAAGTGTATGATAAATCAATGTTTGTGAAGTTGTGATAATCTAATTTCAATGGCAATTTTAAAATATTTATTTATAAAATAATGTATTTATACGAAATAGTGTGTAAGGATTTTAAAAGTAAGATAAAAATGTATTAAAGGACGTTAATAAATTAAATACGAAACAATTTATAAATAGGTAAACAAATAGTTTTTATTCCTAAAGATCAAGGACCTTACGAAAACTTATATGCCTTCTTTAACGGAACCAGAAAGAAAATCTCATTAGCTGAAATTTAAATTTATCAATAAACGATACGATATAGCTTTATTAACAATAAGTGAAGTTCTAGTTTAATTCTAGTTCAGTTCTAGTTCAGTTCTAGTTCAGTTCTAGTTCAGTTCTAGTTCAGTTCTAGTTCAGTTCTAGTTCAGTTCTAGTTCAGTTCTAGTTCAGTTCTAGTTCATTTCTAGTTCAGTTCTAGTTCAGTTCTAGTTCAGTTCTAGTTCAGTTCTAGTTCAGTTCTAGTTCAGTTCAGTTCTAGTTCAGTTCTAGTTCAGTTCTAGTTCAGTTCTAGTTCAGTTCTAGTTCAGTTCTAGTTCAGTTCTAGTTCAGTTCTAGTTCAGTTCTAGATCAGTTCTAGTTCAGTTCTAGTTCAGTTCTAGATCAGTTCTAGATCAGTTCTAGTTCAGTTCTAGTTCAGTTCTAGTTCAGTTCTAGTTCAGTTCCAGTTCTAGTTCAGTTCTAGTTCAGTTCTAGTTCAGTTCTAGTTCAGTTCTAGTTCAGTTCTAGTTCAGATCTAGTTCAGTTCTAGTTCAAGTTCTAGTTCAGTTCTAGTTCAGTTCTAGTTCAGTTCTAGTTCAGATTCTAGTTCAGTTCTAGTTCAGTTCTAGTTCAGTTCTAGTTCAGTTCTAGTTCAGTTCTAGTTCAGTTCTACTTCAGTTCTAGTTCAGTTCTAGTTCAGTTCTAGTTCAGTTCTAGTTCAGTTCTAGTTCAGTTCTAGTTCAGTTCTAGCTTCAGTTCTAGTTCAGTTCTAGTTCAGATCTAGTTCAGTTCTAGTTCAGTTCTAGTTCAGTTCTAGTTCAGTTCTAGTTCAGTTCTAGTTCAGTTCTAGTTCAGTTCTAGTTCAGTTCTAGTTCAGTTCTAGTTCAGTTCTAGTTCAGTTCTAGTTCAGTTCTAGTTCAGTTCTAGTTCAGTTCTAGTTCAGTTCTAGTTCAGTTCTAGTTCAGTTCTAGTTCAGTTCTAGTTCAGTTCTAGTTCAGTTCTAGTTCAGTTCTAGTTCAGTTCTAGTTCAGTTCTAGTTCAGTTCTAGTTCAGTTCTAGTTCAGTTCTAGTTCAGTTCTAGTTCAGTTCTAGTTCAGTTCTAGTTCAGTTCTAGTTCAGTTCTAGTTCAGTTCTAGTTCAGTTCTAGTTCAGATCTAGTTCAGTTCTAGTTCAGTTCTAGTTCAGTTCTAGTTCACTTCTAGTTCAGTTCTAGTTCAGTTCTAGTTCAGTTCTAGTTCACTTCTAGTTCAGTTCTAGTTCAGTTCTAGTTCAGATCTAGTTCAGTTTAGTTCAGTTCTAGTTCAGATCTAGTTCAGTTCTAGTTCAGTTCTAGTTCAGTTCTAGTTCAGTTCTAGATCAGTTCTAGATCAGTTCTAGTTCAGTTCCAGTTCAGTTCTAGTTCAGTTCTAGTTCAGTTCTAGTTCAGTTCTAGTTCAGTTTAGTTCAGTTCTAGTTCAGTTCTAGTTCAGTTCTAGTTCAGTTCTAGTTCAGTTCTAGTTCAGTTCTAGTTCAGTTCTAGTTCAGTTCTAGTTCAGTTCTAGTTCAGTTCTAGTTCAGTTCTAGTTCAGTTCTAGTTCAGTTCTAGTTCAGTTCTAGTTCAGTTCTAGTTCAGTTCTAGTTCAGTTCTAGTTCAGTTCTAGTTCAGTTCTAGTTCAGTTCTAGTTCAGTTCTAGTTCAGTTCTAGTTCAGTTCTAGTTCAGTTCTAGTTCAGTTCTAGTTCAGTTCTAGTTCAGTTCTAGTTCAGTTCTAGTTCAGTTCTAGTTCAGTTCTAGTTCAGTTCTAGTTCAGTTCTAGTTCAGTTCTAGTTCAGTTCTAGTTCAGTTCTAGTTCAGTTCTAGTTCAGTTCTAGTTCAGTTCTAGTTCAGTTCTTTCTAGTTCAGTTCTAGTTCAGTTCTAGTTCAGTTCTAGTTCAGTTCTAGTTCAGTTCTAGTTCAGTTCTAGTTCAGTTCTAGTTCAGTTCTAGTTCAGTTCTAGTTCAGTTCTAGTTCAGTTCTAGTTCAGTTCTAGTTCAGTTCTAGTTCAGTTCTAGTTCAGTTCTAGTTCAGTTCTAGTTCAGTTCTAGTTCAGTTCTAGTTCAGTTCTAGTTCAGTTCTAGTTCAGTTCTAGTTCAGTTCTAGTTCAGTTCTAGTTCAGTTCTAGTTCAGTTCTAGTTCAGTTCTAGTTCAGTTCTAGTTCAGTTCTAGTTCAGTTCTAGTTCAGTTCTAGTTCAGTTCTAGTTCAGTTCTAGTTCAGTTCTAGTTCAGTTCTAGTTCTAGTTCAGTTCTAGTTCTAGTTCTAGTTCTAGTTCAGTTCAAGTTCAGTTCTAGTAAAAGTTCAGCTCTTGTTCTATAAGTTGGTAAAGGTTGAAACTCAAAGGCGGTTTAGAAAAAATTACCATCTATATCTTTCCAACCACTTTTTTAAAATATTTAACTGATCTTGCAACATGTGGGAATATTCCGAGAACTGTAACAGTGTTTGGTACGGATCCGCTGTGATTATTTGGCATAATTTCGGCAGCTCACCAAACTCAATGTTGATTTGATGCAAAAAATTTCCTTTTTTGTCTTTTTGACAATATTTCGGACATGTTTTCTCTCGGCTTCAATTCGCGTAGAATTTGTTTTTAGATGAATCCTGCTGCTTCCAAACTTTTTAAAATTGCTGCTTGCCTCCCGAATATTTTGCAAAATCTTCTTAAGTGTAACTGCAATATCCATGGAGAAAACCCCCCATGTAATGGTATTTGAACTTTTTTTGGACAAAATATCCACTTCTAAACTGCACAAACCATATCCCGCAAGTTGAATGTATTTAGGATATAAACAAGTTTTATAAGAACCAAAACATCTCCTGCAACTATCATGAAGTTCGGTCTATAATTGACAATATATAACATAATAATTAGAACTCTCCAGAAATATAATTTTCAAAAATGTTAGTTGGCGACAGCAAAAAGAACTTTAAGTTTTCATGAAAACGACCAGCTTAACTTTTTGAGCAGTACTTCATTTCTGGATCAAATATCTGTATTATACCTTTAATAAAACCACATTTTCATATAAGTTTTTATAATAGTTATAAATTTTATTCAATGAATAAAATTTTATTCTCATTCAATTTAAATTTAATTCACAATTAATTCATATTAATTCTGAATTTATTGACAAACTATCTAAGCATACAGATACTTACTATTTTAATGTTATAATAAAAAATACAATCTTAACTATGTGATAAAAATCTTAAGATAAATCTCTCTCTTTTTAAATAGTTTACAAAATGTATATATATCGTTTGGGCGATCAGTTTATGGAACAAAAATTAACTGACGGCAACAAACGAAAACAAACGAATAAAAAACTTAAAACTTAGATTAGTTGTCTTTGACTTGCGATGATTTTCAAGTTTAAAACTTAATCAAAACGCACAAAACAAAAAATGTAATGCAATTAAACAGGGCTAGGAAGTTTAAAATAGTTAAAACTTATAACTTAAATATAGGCGTTTGATTTATAACTTTTATAAGGAAGCAAAAGTGTGTTTTTTTCATGTAATTATGTTTAAGGTTTGTTTGAGCAGTTTTAATTAGTTGCTTCCTAAAACCCCTTATTAAATGAAAAGTAATGTTTTACATACAAGAAAACAAACGAAAATATATATTGCTTTTAGGACAGAATTAAACAGACTTCACCTAAGAAACTTAATACTAAAGTTTTATGCTAAAAATCAAATTAAAGCAAACAAGAAGTATTTGAAAATGAATATGAACTTATCAAATAAATAAAAATGAAATAATTAGTATAATGTTAGAATTGTCAATGCAAATAAATATTTAGTTTGATAAAGAAAACACACTTGCTGTTTAATTTAAGTGAAAATAAAATGCAAAGTGTTTTCTTCTTCGCATGATAACAAGTGTTTTAAGTTTAAAAGCGTTTTTTCTTTAATAATACAATGTGCAAGAAATAACAATACAAGGATAGTAATAGTTTGTAATAATTATAAGGTTTTAAGAAAGGTTTTAAAATATAATTAAATTGGCTTAAAGTTTGTAACAGTTTACATTGACATTTATCATAGCACGTTAAAGTTTTAAAAGAAATAGTTAAATTTATAGAAGATTGTAAAGCTAAAGAAGAAAGTAAATATCATTAGAAGGGTTTAGTTCAAAAGAAAAGGTTTAATTAATGAAAGTTTAAATGGCAGTTGTTTGTTTAAGGTAAAAATTGTTAGAGGCAAGTGGAGGAAAATGATTTAAAAAAAAACATTAATATACGAAAAGTTTAATTTACTTTTTAAAACAGATTTTATGTTAATGTTACAAAAATGAGTTATTTTTTAAGAAAATATTTCAATATTAGTTTAGTTGACATTCTAGACAGTTTTAAAAGTTAAAAATTTTTAAAAATTTTGAATTTGAAAAGTTTTTATATTTCGGCTCAAGGTCCCCCGGGGGTTGTAACAAAATACCAGAGAATTTAAGTTGTTCTTATATCAACATTTATGCAATTATTGTAAACTATATTTTTCACTTTAAATTTTAATCAAATCGTTGCTAAGAGAACAAATCTGGCTTTTTTTAAGCAAATGACCCCTAAGGGCACAACGGATTGCAAATCTATAATTTAGTTTTCAAATAAACTGGAAATTTACTAAAAAAATATTGGAACTTAAACTGCCTGCAGGATACAATAACCGATTTAGACAATTTCGAATTTTAACGAAATTTTTGAAATCGGGAAGAATTTATGTTCCCTGAAAAGGTCCCCCGAGGGTGATAATGTTACAAAAATTTGTTGTTTTTTAAGAAAATATTTCTATATTACAGTTTAGTTTCCATTCTAGACAGTTTTACAGGTTTAAAATGTTTAAATTGGAGAAGTTTTTATATTCCGGCTAAAGTCCCCCGGGGTGTAAATAAAAATTTTAACAAAAACATGAAAAATTCAAATTGTTTGTATTTTGAAACTATTGAAAACGTTATTTTTGAATAGAAATTGTAATCAAATCCTTGTTAGGTAAACAAATCAGGCCTTATTAGGCAATCGACTTTAAAGGGCACAATGTATTACAAACCTACAAATTTGTAGCAACTTTAACAAGAATTTTAACAAAAAATATTATGAACTCAAACTGCCTGCAGGATACAGATTAACATTTTATTATAAAGTGGCTCAATAGAGACCTCCCCCTGGGGACTTTTTGATCTTTAAATCAATAGTGAAATTTAACTTATTTTAACGGAATTACAAGGAATTACAAATTAAAATTTTAACTAAATTTTTAAACTTTTTAAAGTCGATAAGAGTTTACTCTGCGGCTAAAGGTCCCCCAGGGGTCCAAATAACATTTTAAACTAAAACACGAGAAAATTCAAGTTGTTTTTAAAGCAAAAACTATACGAAGAAAAATAAATTTTAATCAAATCTCTGCTAAAAGAACAAATCCTGCCCAGCAAAAAAAGTGTGGAAAAAGATGTAGAATTTTCATCACAACTAGTAACCCGAAGTGCTTCAAATTCAGGTGAAAAACCTATGAATTTTACATTAGCGTGTCATTGGAGGGATGTTGTTCATTTTTGACAACTTTGAACTAAATCTAATCTTATCTTTAGAAGCTGTAAAAATCCGATATTTGTATTTCAAAAATAAACCACATTCTTTTAATGAAACGCTTATGTAAATTTCATTGGTTTTCATCAAAATTTGAAGTACTTCGAATATGTTGTTTGTAGTGACTTTTCTACATCTCTTTTCTCATTTTTAAATGTGTTTTAATTTGTAAGTATATGTTTGGTTTATAAAGATGTCGTTTGTAAAGTATGACATCAATTATTTTTTGCTGGGTATAAATTTCTACCAACTTAATCCTGAATTTTACTAAAAGAAACGGAACTCAGGGATACAAAGTCCAATATAGATTCGAATATATATAAAATCAAGCTTTTTACTCATAAACAAGGGATTAAACTTTAATTTATAGCCTTTGGGAAAGTCGAAAATATGTTATTATACGGTTAAAGTCCCCCGGGGGTTCTAAGAAAATTTTAACTAAAACACTCGAATTGCTTTTAAAGAAAAAACTTTGGAAACTATATTCTATAGAAATTGTAATCAAAACTTTAGTAAAATAAAAAAACTGACCTTTTTAAACAGAAGACCCTAGGGGTACACAAGCCTAAACTCAATACCTGCAATTTTTAAACTTAAAAAATTACTAGATTTTAAAAGGCAATAATATGGATAAAATATAAATCCTTCAACAGCCTTTCCAATTCAATTTCAGAAAATTCTAATTGAACATTTCTGAAATATAATAAAAATTTTTCTAAAAATTGAATTAGAAACTTCTGAAATACAATTGGAAATGTTATAGTAGAGAGATACTAATAAAACTTAAAAAATAACTTTTTTAAAACTAATGAAATTACCATCCACAATAATTACACTAAATGCAAAACATTTTCAGTAATTATTAAGTATTACTTCAATGTTAAATTGACATATTTCTTTCTTACCAACTAACTGATATTTACTTTCATTCCATCTAACTTATACCAGCACAATCTACTTATATAAATTAACTTACATACGTCGTATGCAATGGATGTGTGTGTGTGTTTTTGAGTTTCTTAAAATTATAAATAAAAATAATGTTTTTGTTTAAACAAATGACTTTTTTGTTATTCACAGCTACTAAATGTACGGGAACGACTTAAACGTCTAGCTGCAGCCGCTAAAGCAGCAGCTTCGCTATCACCTGGTAAATCAGGTAATTTAAGGATTTCATTAAGTTGCACCTTAAGCTCATTGGTGGCAGGACGTTCTTCGGGTTTAGAGGAAAGCATTTTCTTTAACAACTCATATTCCTTGGGATGTTGTGGTGGGAAATCTTTTGGATAAATGCCATCACGTAAAGAACGTAAGGTTTTAATGCGTTCCATTTCGGTACCGAAATAAACCAACAGTTCGAAGAATATTAAACCCAAAGAATAAATATCCACTTTATAGTCGTAGGGCAGGCCACGTAATTGTTCGGGAGACATGTACAGGTGAGTACCCACTTGTTGGGTATGGCGGGCACATGAGGGCAGACCCGTATTATCACCGCATTTGGTAATCATATTTGGTATATCGGCCATATCGGTAACCAGACCAAAGTCACCGATTTTGATTTGACCCTCTTGGGAGAAGAAAATATTACTGGGTTTGAGATCACGATGTATAAGACCCTTGTAGTGTACATAATCGACAGCATCTACAATTTGATGAAAAATACTGGCTATAAAGTCTAAGCGATCTTCACGTTTGTTATCGCGTAGCCAATCTCTTAAGCATTCTTTGCGACACAATTGCATTTGTATATACAAATAGACTTTATTTTGTTGGGGTTTAACGGTCATTTTGTTATTATTTTCACCATAACTTATGTCTAAAGCCAAGTCTTGGGGTCGGCGCTTTTTGTTATAAACTTCCTTAGTCTTATTAGAAGTGGTAGACTCTTCTTCCTCCTCCTCTAAAACGGGCGTTGATTCATCACCTTCAACGGAGCGCACAAATTCAATTTGAAATGAATCAGACAATTGGCTATAGTCAATATTACGTCGACCACGATTTAGATTCAATTCTGTGCTATTTGTTTGTATATCAATCGATATAGCATCGTTATGAGATTTTTTCTTTATACCATTTTTAGTTATTTTAGTTCTATTTGTAATATCATTCTCCGTAGAAGTATCATCATCGTCATGTTTCATTGCCTTTGATTGGGATTCCGAACGGAATACAACACAGGAATCACTATCTTCATCGTCGTATTGATGCTGATCACGCATAGCCAGGGAATCAGATTCAGAACGAAATATTACACAAGAATCCTCATCTTCTTCGTAATCATCATAATTACCATTACCATTGCATTTATGATCAGAACTACAGGCTGTAGAGGCCATACTTTCCATCCAAGTTTGCAGTTGTTTCTTTTTATCGATATTATTGCCCTCCAAGTAATGGGGAGTTGGAAATGTTGAATGAGTTTCGGAGGGTGTATCAATTTGTATGGATGTTGACATTTCGTTGGCCAACCATTTGTTATCCTCCACCTCTTGCCAACCTGGTGGTGGTTTTTCTACCCATGACTGCAATTTGAAAGATAGATTGAAATAAGTTTTGTTTAAAACGTTAAAATAAATCATAAGTTTTTATATCCGGTCTATGGACTAGACAACAGTCTAGACTATTATCTAAACAACAGTCTAATCATTTGACGGGACAATAGGTTAGTCTTTTGACTTTTTTTATAAGACAATTGATTTGACTAGACAATAATCTATTCTATTGACTAGACAGTAGCGTAGTCTATTGACTAGACAATATTTTAGTCTATTGAAAAGTCTATTGACTAGTATATTGACTAGACAATCTATCGACAGTCTAGTCTATTGACTAGAAAGTAGTCTAGTCTATTGACTAGAAAGTAGTCTAGTCTATTGACAAGACAGTATTTTAGTCTATTGACAAGTCTATTGACTAGACTATCTATCGACAGTCTAGTCTATTGACTAGAAAGTAGTGTAGTCTATTGACTAGGCAGTAGTCTAGTCTATTGACAAGACAGTAGTTGGTATTCTAGTCAATTAACAAGACAGTAGTATAGTCTATTGACTAGACAGTTGTGTAGTCTATTGATTAGACAGAAGTCTAGTTAATTGACTAGACCGTTGTCTAGTCCATTGACTAGACAATAGTATTGTGTAGTTTATTGACTATACAACAAGACTATTCTACGGAGTAGACAGTGATCTAGCCTATTGTCTAGACAATAGTCTAATATTTTGATTGGACAATAGTTTAGTAGCCCATTTACTGGACAATATTTAGCCTTATGTTATTTTAACCCACCTGAAAGTATCTAACAATATTCTGATGTTCACAATTCGCCAAAGTCTTGACCTCACGCATAACTCGCATACGAGATTCCTCCTTATTGGGCAAAGTAATACGCTTAATGGCATAACTACAATCATCCAATTTATTTTTTGCCTCAAAGACAACACCAAAACCACCACGACCCAAACAACGCTGCAAATCGAAATCACTTTGGAAACGTGAAGTAAAATGTTCACCCGAATTAGAGGTAGATTCCGATAAAGAACGATGAACATTACCGGAACTTTTGGAATTTGTATTAGTGTGTGTTGTATTGGTGGTGGGGCCTAAAAGGGCTGCTGTGGAGGATTCAGTAGCTTCAATACCCGAAGGCACTGGTATATGACGTTCAATGACTACAATTTGACGTTCACCACGATTGCGTTGACTTATTAGAATGTTAAGTAGTAGGGCAGAGGTAAAGGCCACTATAGCCAACTCCTTCCACCAAAACCATATGGATAGTATAACAACTTTAATGGGAGCATCAATATCGTCAAGACTAAAACCCAAATCATCATCGATGGTATGATTATTGTTGCTGGTATTGTCAATTTTCTTGTCATCAATGGCTGGCAGTTCTTTTTTGGTGGTAGTGCCGCACATATCATCTTCAGTATTGGTGTTTTCCAGTTCATCGCTAGTATACAAATAGAAACCATTGCCATTGACATATTCCGAGGCATTAAGTACGGATTGGGCTGACAGAGCAAAATTCTCATCATCATAAGGAACCAATTCATTGCCTTGTATTTCTTTTGAATTGTATGAACCACCTGCCCCTATACGTTGTTCATCACTGTGTTGATAAATAATCAAAGAATTGCTACTGGCCGCTATAGGACGCCAGGGAATTTTGGGTAATCTGGTTTCTGTAGTAAGTTGTGTATAAAGATGTGATTGATCTAGTATCTCTTTGCGCAAATGTATGGATTCCTGAAGGTTATATAAATTATTAAATAGAAAATTGATTATTTATAGATCATTAAAAATAACTTTACCTGTATATACAATTGTCTATCATACATGCCCACATAGATTGAGGGATTTATATTGGGTAAAGGCATTTCAAAAATATTATCATCTTGATTCCAAAGCCATTGTGCAGAGCCAAACATATCAATTGCCTCTAAAGCATCAGCCGGACCAATTTTCCAAGCACTTACAATAGGATGATCAAACTGCAAAGTGATTGTTTATAATTAAATTTTTTCAAACTTTAATTTTGTCTCAAAACATACCTTATATTTCCACAGCATAACACTGGGCTCCAATTTGCTAAAAGCACATATAACTCCTTCTGGAACTATGACTTTTATATCCAAATCTAAAATGGCCATTTCCAAATTGCTAAATTTGCGATCATGACACTCAGCAGGTCTTATTAAATCCAATTCATGTTGACCCACACTGAAATTCCAACGTTCTACTCCCGTGCGTGTCTCTACAGCCCGTACTGTCTGAGTTTGGCGTCTGACAACTATAACATCGTCTATCAAAGGATCATGTTCTCTCACATAACCATTGCCGTTAATATCATCTTTCTTTAGATTCTCCTCATCTTCTACAATTATATCATCATCTTCCTCAACAGTTTTGGTAGCATTACGATTTTGAAATTCAGCATCGGTTGAATTAACACAACCATTCATGGAACATTCATATAACAATTGTCCCGTGCGTGCTGATACACCATAAGTACGTGTCTCTTTGCCACCAGATATTACCAAATCATCAGAAAATTTTGCCGACGAACTGAGTAAATTATCGGTAGTTATGGGTATAGGATCAATAGATTCGCCATCGAATTTATAAATACCTCCGCTCAACGAAGGTATCATACGTACAAATTGTCCATTATTAGTCAATTCTAAACGATGTATACTCGAGGAAATCAAAGGTCCTGGACCGGTAGGTATACTCCAGCGTACTTTACCACTCTTGGTAATGTCCAATGCTGTAAGACGTCCATCCAAAGTGGTAACGTATAATAGTCTAATAAAAGATAAAAAAAACATTTTCAAAGAATCATTAGAATCATTTTAGTAACTTTTTTAATTGATTAATCAATATATTATTAAAATTACAAACTTTATTATAAAATTCATTAATATTGCTGAACCCATGCTGCAATTATTGTTTATATTTGTTGTGAAGTCCAAATAAAACTAAATAATATATATTATATATTGAATTTAATTATACGTTTAATGAAAGTATTCTCCCAAAAAAATAAATAATAAATAAGCAAAAAAATAAATAATAATACAATAAATATGTAGATAAGAAAAGATAAGAGGAAATTATATTGTTTAATACAATCGTAAATACTAAATGTAGATCTAACAAATGCATTGTTTTTCTACGTCATATTAGAAAATACGTCTAAAACTTTAGTTTATTAAAAATCTAGTAAACAGTTGGTTGCTGTTATACGATTTGTGTAAATATTACAATATTCCGTAACTTAAATTTTTTATAATTGTGAAATTGTTAAATTAACACCAATATATCGTTTTTTAGTGAATAGTTCGGTGAAACGTGTGCATCGAACTTTTCGCTAAAATCAGTTTCAAATCTAATTTAATAAAAACACAATTTGAAATATATTATATATAAGGTTATGTCGCATTTAACAATTTCACTATAAATTCATCCTTTTTTATATCCGTTATCATCGGTAGTATGTATATAATTTAATTTAGGAACTTTATAGAGGTCGATAACGTTTGTCCATCTGCTTTATAGTTAGTGTCTGCAGATATCTTCGGAATGTAATGATTTCCAGAAGTTTACTATTTAAAATGAACAAAATCAGATCATAAATAACGGAGATATAAACAATATGTAAACTTTTCATAAGTAGAAATTTGTAAACGATTTTGATCTATATAGGAAAGGTTATTGGGAATAAGGAAATTATAATTGAAATTCCCGGTAAAAGCCCCGGATTATAAATTTAATATTTTTATAGTTTTCTGGATATATCTTGAATGCTATTTGCTAAAGGGTGGAGTATTGGTGGTAGAATTCACCAACAGCAGCTATACTTGAAACAATTTATCGTAGGAGTGAGTTTATCTTAAGGATATTCACAGAAATAGTTTCTCGGGAGGTTTAATATTCTGGCGTGAAGCATAAAAGGTTTGTGGCCACTATAATTGTGTTTCATAGCTGAGATTTTAGAAGATATGTATAACAAGGCTCATTATCTTCACCATTTTACAGGAGGCCTATATTGACCACCAAAATTGCCGAGTTTTAACAAAGCTACCGGTTATTGTAACCGATTAGCGGTGACGGGACGTTCTTTCCTGTAAATATTCAATTAATTAATTATTACTAATGTCATGTGATGTTAATGAAAGCTGAAAAAAATGTGCCGGTCTTAACCATAGGTTTATGGGATTTAAGTTTGTGGGCCTATGAGGACAATTAAAGAGATGCACTGTGTCATGAGGCTCTTGGAGACAGGCAGGGCATCGGTTAAGGATGCCTGCAATAACTCATTCTTGGTAGCAGTTGAAAATACTGCTCCAACCAGCTCTTAAATGTGAGAGTGTTGAACGAGTTTGCTGATTATTGCCTCTCACTATCCCAAAACGCGGGTGTATGTTGATTTAAGACTTTATTGCACATTTAGCCGTTAATGGTGCCATTTGGTGGAATGCTTTCTGTGCGTTTATTATCGACAATCTGTCGACGTCAGATGAGATGACGCCCTGGATGTCTCTAACATAACGTCGAAAGTGTGACCGAATGTGTCGAGGGGGGATCTTTCATCAAAATTTGGTGATGTTCGAATGTTATGCCACTAAGAATTGTCTAGCCAGCAACACATTATGTTGCCTGACAAACAGCATACTGGTTTCCTCGTGGTTGTCTTATCTATGGCCGAGGAGGTAACCGCGACTGCTTTTAGGACTTTATTTCTTTATTTCACTTTATGGTTGATGTAGACGGTGTGCGAAGAGAAGAGAAGTAGGCTGTCAAAGATTTCCCCTTAAATTTTCGGGTTCTGAATCGCAGTGATACGTCTACTTTTGACTGAGATGTTGAGTCACATGAAGTGAATAGTGACACGGTTGATTTGTATGTTGGTAACTGTAATTCGCGTTCTTGAAAATGGTGGACGATGATGGCCAGATATTGGGATATTTTGGCACTTACATATGTCGTAATATTTACGCCAGATGAGAAGCTGTCGGTCTCTTGTCCTGTTAGGAAAATACCATTAGAATCCGCAAGAGTATCCGGTACTGCCATACTGTGGAATGTTTCGACATCTCTTTTGTTTCAGAGACATCAGTGTAAATCTTTTACGGCCCATCATGGAGGATTAATTAAATCTCCCCTGGATTGTATTAGAACAACAAGGAGAAGTTTAAAGCAATGAATGCCTTGGGCATGCAATAATCAATATTAACCGGTTGTTTTCCCAAACTTTTAAAATTATTTTATAGATCACAAGAAGCATAAAAGGTTTTTGGTCACTACAATTGTGCTTCATAGTTAAGATTTTAGAAGATATGTATAACAAGGCTCATTATCTTCACCATTCTACAGGAGGCCTCCATTGACCACCAAAATTGGGCATGTAACTGCTTTTACGACATGCAATAATCAATGTTAGCCGGTTATTTCCCTAGACTTTTAAAATTGTTTTATAGATCACAAGATTTAAGTTTATATTATTTTAAGATTTTCAAACATTAAAGCATTATACCCTCCCACTTTGTAGGGTATACCCACTTTAATATAAGCTTTTATACTGACAGTTTTCTAACAAAAAATATTTTGAAGAGATTAAACAGTTGCGATAAATAATGATGACAAACATAGAGTAATAATAGAGCTTTAAATGTTTATATTAATTGCCATGTATCTAGTACTTATTTTAGTAATTATATTAAAACTAACAAATAAAATAACAATAACTGACATCTGACATTTTACTATTAACAGAAACTAGATAATAATTAATTATTATCAATATTTTATATTAAATTCAAAATATTTTGACTATTTAACTAATATTTAGTATTAATAAGTTAACAAGTTAAGCGCTACTTTCGAGGTAGTGGTAATGTAGTTCCATTGGTAATTCTTCTTTTTATTATTATTCCAATATGTAAACATTTCAAAAGAAATATTGAAGATTTGGATTCTTCAGAAAATAACATCATTAATAAATATACCGATAAAAGTTAAAAGTTCGATTAAATCACGCGATTTCAAGTTATAAACCCAATCTCCCAAAAAAACGCAAAATTAAGTTGTAGAAATAACAAACGCTATGACAAATTTATATATACCATTCCCACAAATGTAAGGTGTATAATAAATTATTGTTTATTTATTTTTTCTGGCTGCTCATTATGCAATAACTTTTTTAATCTACAATATACATATCTTTGTAAAACAAAGAAGATACAGAAAACATATAGAATTCTTAATGGAATTAAAAAAGAAACATTTAATAACTTGAAATAAAAAGTTACAAAATTTTACTCTCAACAAAATTCTCTAACTAGTAATTAAATTTAAATTAATAGGTTTTCATTTAACAAAAATATAGACACAAGTTTGTTATCAGAAAAAAATAACATTGACATTAGTTATATTTTTAAATAACTGACAATAAAAATATGAGTCATAAGTAGAAGGTAAACAAAAAATACATACATACATACATACATACATACATACATACATACATACATACATACATACATACATACATACATACATACATACATACATACATACATACATACATACATACATACATACATACATACATACATACATACATACATACATACATACATACATACATACATACATACATACATACATACATACATACATACATACATACATACATACATACATACATACATACATACATACATACATACATAATAATACAATTGTCTACACGTTAAATTCACGTTTATTTAATTTTTATAAAATGTGTTAATTTTTTCACTATCTTTAGTTTTCCAACAAAATAGAACACTTATTTATATTGAGATTAAACTAAAGATATTGTTATTATTTAATAAAAATTATATAGAATTTCATCATACAATTGAAAAAGGCATCCTTTATTCTAGGTTCTCATTTAAAAATACTCATTCTATACAAAAACAAACTTATAACCGCCAAACTGTGTCATCTTCATCATCACAGAAAAACAAAAATACTTTTATATAAGTTTGCGTCTGTCTAGCCTATAGCAGTGCAGGAGGGAATGAGTGTTATTGGTCTTACAAATGGTGTGATAAAAATTGTGTGTAAACTAAGCAGTATAAGCAGATATATACTCTCTCTATAATGTTTGAACATGTCTGTTGTTCATATCAAATAAGAAAAGTACACATCAGCTTTTTAGCAAAGCCGGTATTGAAAATTTAACAATAACAAAGCAAAACTACAGTAGAGAATTTGTACAAGGGTTTTATTATTTTATTTTTTTTTTTTTTTTTTTGGATAAAAAGAGGGGAATCGCTAATACCGGCCAATTAGTTTTGCGCATGGCATTGTATGTCGTCTTATCGTCATCAGCTGTTTATATTTATACTTATGGGAAGAACAAAATAAATATACCAGCAAAACAAAACAGAAATAAAGTAAAACAAGTAAGAGTGTCATATTCGGCCATGCCGAATCTTATATACCCACCATCAAACCTCGTTTGACTCGAATGAAACTTACTTATGTCGAATTTCATCTATATACTCGTATTTTTTAGGCCAGTTATAAGCGTTAAAGTAATTTTCTGAAGGGGACCTTATATATGGGGGTAGGGTCAATTATGGGTCGATCCTCATAAAATTTGGTAGACAGAATTTGGTTCGTATTAAATTTATTTGTGTCGAATTTCATCGCTACACTCGTATTTTTAAGCCATTAATGAGCGTTGCAGTCATTTTCTGAAGGGGACCTTATATGGGGGGTAGGGTCAATCATGGACCGATCCTCATAAAATTTTTTAGATAGATTTTGACTTCTATGAAACTTACTTATGTCGAATTTCATCGCTATATTCGTATTTTTAAACAAGTTATGGTTGTTAAAGCTGCTTTTCGAGGGGCCACTTGTATGGGGGCTATCCGAAAACGTGGACCGATATTGCCCATTTTTAATACCAAACAAACCTTACCTATAAGAAATATTTATGTGAAATTTCAACCCTCTAGCTCTTTCCATTGGGACTCTATCGTGCTTTCAACAGACAGACAGACAGACAGACGGACGGACGGACAGACGGACAGACATGGATAGATCGTCTTAGAATTTAATGAGGACCCAGAATATATATACTTTTGTGGGTCTATGACCAATATTTCGATGTGTTACAAACGGAATGACAAAATCAATATACCCCCCATCTTTTTTGATGGTGGGTATAAAAATAACAACAAATATAATAAACTAAAACAAGTGTTCCATATTTAAGTGGACGGACGATCACAATAATATTTTGAATGTTATTTAATTATAGAATGAAAACAAACACATGCAGTGCATATAGTATAGAAGACGGACAAATATAATATTATTCTAAATTATTGTTAAGAACTTATGATGTTTTTTTATGTAATGAATTAGTTTCTCTTTGATTTCCTGTAAAAGGAGAATCGAAATAAATACTTAAACTCAAATGAAATGGAAAAATATTTTCTAATAGTTTAAGGTCAGTAAATAGTGCTGACAAGGTTTGTTCACATTCATATAGAGGTTATTATTTGGGTTTGTTTTTGTATGTTGAAAGAAAGAAAATATCAGACATTTGCAAACAGTTTTTTTCTTGCCAGAGTAATGTTAATTGACTAATTCGTAGATTAGTCTATAAACTAGTTCATAGAATAGTCAATAAACTAGTTTATATGCTTGTCAATGGACAAGATCATTGAATTGTCAATATACTACTTCACAGACTATTTAATAGCCTAGTTTATAGACTAACCAACAGGCTAGTTCATAAACGAATCAATAGACTAGTCCATTGAATAGTCAATACTCTAGTCAACAAACTAGTTCATAGACTAGTCATGTACTAGTCAATAGAGTAGTTCATAAACTAGTCAATAGACGAGTTCATAGAATTCAATATGTAGACTACTTAATAGACAAATGAATAGACTAGTTCATAGAAATAGAGTTCATAGAATAGTCAATAGTCTAATTTATAGACTAGTCAATAGTCTAGTTCATATAGGAGTCAATAGACTAGTCAATAAACTACTTCAATAGACTAGTTCATATAGGAGTCAAAAGGCTAGTTCCTAGATTTATCATAGTCTATTTAATAGAATAATTTAGAGACTAGTTACTAGACTAATTCATAAACTTTTCAATAGACTAGTAAATAAGCTAGTGTATAGGCTAGTCAATAGACTAGATCATATAGTCAATGCACAAGTTCATGGATTAATCAATAGACTATTTCATAAACTATTTTATACACTAGTCAATAGACTAGTTCACAGAATAGTCAATATTCTAGTTCGAAGACTAGTCAATAGAATAGATAATAGTCCGTTAACTAGTCAATAAATTATTCAATAGACTAGGTCATAGACTATTCAAAAAATTAGATCAAACACTAATAAATAGACTAGTTTGGACACAAGTCAATAGACTTGTTCATAGACTAGGCAATATTCTAGATCATAGACTAGGCAATAGACTAGTCCATAGGGCAATCCATAGTTTATTCAAAAGACTAGTTCATAGATTAGTCAATAGATCAATAGATCACATCATAGTTCAAACACTAGTACATTTATTACGGAATTTTTTAGGGAAATTTTGTTTTGAATCAAAGCTTTTGGGAATCTCTGCCACAACCAACACACTACAAAGTAAATTTTAAAAACAAAACCAAAATTAAGTACTATTCGTATACAAGTTATTTAAATTGTTTAGATTGTTTTTATCACAATAGTTAGAATTAGTATTAATTAATAAACATACAAAATACCACATATTTATGTACGTATATGTATTTGCAAATAAACAAAAACAAATTTAACTAGAAATCTTGTTCATGTGGAAATAGAAGAAAGCAAAAAATAAAATAAAAATAGATAATTATTCAACGGATATGCAGAACAAAACAAAAATGTAAAAATAATAACAACACAAAATAGACAACCTTTAAATGAAAACAGACAAACACGCACACACGTACATAAAGAACATAAAAATTTAAAACTACTAGAAAATTCCATTTGAAAATGTGAGCCTCAAATAATAAGATAAAAACTGACATGAATTTACCTTCTGCCAATTGTCCTTTCATTGGATTCATCGCAATACGGTATCGCAGGTCGATTTTTGGTTACCAGCTGACCATTGTTATCATTCACAGATTCAGTAGTTGCGGTAAGAGAAGGAGGTGCAACTGGTATGCCGTTTTCAAGGGATGGGGTCGATGGTGATGATGATGTTGTTAATGTAGGTTCAATGATAGAGGTTGCTGCAGCAGCAGCAACAATTGATGCCAACATGGTGAGATGCAAAAGTGATTTGCGACAGTTGCGTACCACATTCAAATCATGTTGAATGCCCATAGTTCTTCTTCCGACAACGGTTTGAAATTTTGTAGGCCGTCGTTGTCTCCTCCACGAAGAGACAAATACAACATTCAAAATTGTTTTTCTTCGTTTAGCAGCTGACTCGTTTTAGTTTGCAACTATAAGAAGACAACAATAATCACACACTATCACTGAGAGTATTTATTATTAAAACGCGCGATCGATCACAATAATTAACCAACACAGTGGAGGAGTAAGGAAATTTAAGTAAAAGCAATTATGATAATTTGAAGAAACGCAAGAATATTGTTGTTATTTTTACTTTTTTTATAAACTTTTTCTTTATTCTTAGTTTCGTATGCGTTTTGTCAAATCAAATTACGTGTATGTGGGAAAGAGCAAAAAAGCACGAAGACGGAATGTTAAAATTGGAAATTCGTTGTATTTGTACTTTGGAGCACCCATCAAAAACCACGACCACATTAAAAAAGACGTCGATTTTGTCAGTGCTCTTCTAGGCATAACTTTATGCTTTTAACAAATATAACACTATTGTTTTACTATTTTAATTACAATTATAAACACGGCAGGATTATAATATTCAATTTCGTTAGGTTAAAATTTTTTAAAACACTTTTTCGAAAGCAAAATCGTAAAAGAAGAACGTCTTCGACAAATTCAGAGTTTCACAACTAATGAAAAGCACAACATGTCAAATTGACAATTTGTCAATATGTTTAGGAAGTGTTTGGAAATAAGAAAAATACAACCATGTTCGTGGTGAAATTCGATGAATTTGTAATTGTTTACAGTATAGGTTAAAAATAATATTAATATGTTTTAAGAATTTTAAATATTTGTAAAGTTTTTTTTATTTATTTTTAGAATAGATTTTTATGTATATAGACTTAATACATTTCTTTGAAGTTCAATTTAATATTTTTTTCTATAAACCAATCTCTCAATTAACGAAATATCTAGAAATGTCCAGGCTAAAATGGATTGTCAGGATGAGTAGATGGGGGAACAGTTACACTTTATACCTGAAGCTAAAAAATCTCATCCGCTTTTAATCAAAAACATCAGGTTATTATTTCGGACCAAGTTTTTTATAGCAACGGTATTAAACCCTGGGGAATCGTCCCCATGTAGCACAGTGGTATAGCAAAAACAGGAGCAAGCGTTTAAGTTTTGAATTTGGCCCACAGCCTACAGAAATTTTCAAATTTGTTGAAGTTTTGAAAAAATCAGAAAAATTAGCTTTTCGGTTTGGCTATCGAAACTATTTTACAAAATAATTAAGAATATATTGAATAACTGACATATTTGAAGTTTGATAAATATATTTGAAAGATTTTAATATGCCGAATGTGTTGTAGCCCTCACTTCATAAAACCCGAATTTCGTATTATGCCAGTCTTGTAGTTAACGAGCGATATTTTTATACCCTACATCACTATAGTGGGGAGGGTATTATACGTTTGTGCTGATGTATGTAACACACAAAAATATTGGTCCTACACCCACCTTTAAGTATACCGATCGACTCAGAATCACATTTTAAGTCGATTAAGACATGTCCGTCCGTCCGTCCGTCTGTCCGGCTGGCTGGCTGTCCATGTAAACCTTGTGCGCAAGTTACAGGCCGCAATTTTCAAGATAATTTGATGAAATTTGGACCAAGCATCTTTTTTGGCACAAGGACGAAGCCTATTGAAAATGGTTGAAATCGGTCCATTATTTCACCTAGCCCCCATACAACCGTACCTCCCGATTTGGGCTTTTTATGCCATAATTACGTCAAATATACTATTATCTCTCTAAAAATTGGCACAAATAAGTTTTATATAAGTATAAATGACACTGCAGATTTTCGTAATGATCGGCCCTTATTTGACCCTAGCCCCCATTCAAACCCCCCTTCAAAAAATGTCTTAAACGTCTAAAATTGACTTGTAACCATTTGTATCGCAATGAAACTCAACATAATTAACTATTATTTAAAAATTTATCCTTTTCCCAAATTTTATGAGGATCGGCCCATGTTTGACCTATACTCCTATATAAAGCCTCATTTAGAAAATTTGTTTTTTATCAATAAATTGCTTAAATACTTTGGAATTAATGTAAAATTCAACATAAAAGTTTCTTTGTGAAAAATAAAAATTTTTAAAATATACTAATGGTGTAGGGTATTATATGGTCGGCAATGCCCGACTATACTTTCCTACTTGTTTTAAATTGTATCTACTACTGCCCCTGGTGAGTCCATGAGATCCAACGTTAATCTTGACAACACTTCTTTACTTATGTTAAATTTTATTTAAATCGGATTAATCGTTTAGAAGTTTACTAACGAAGCCAAGGACATTAAGCTTAATTTTTAATTATTTTCTGTACAATCCTTTACCAAAAAAACACGATTGCATTTTAAATTATTGTATTTCTTTTACTTTTTATTTGAATACCATTAATAATTATGAAAATAAGATAAGCATTTCAACAAAGATTTTTTTGGTAAAATAAAAATAAAATTACAATGAAGTATGTTTTCTAAACATTGGTAAATTAATCCAAAAAATAGCTATAATAAGTTAAATGATATAAAAATTACTAGAATAAATTGATACATTTATTTTGAAAATGAAAAAAAAAATACAATTTTCCAGACCAACTGCAGTGCATAAAATAAAGAGGTGGCCCACAGAAAATAAATAATTTATTTTAATACATACTAAACATAAACTTACGAAATATAATAATTACTAGTAAATACAAAATAATAAAAAAAAAAGAAAAAATAAACAAATTCTATAAGAAATATTTTTAAAACTAAATGTTATTTTTATTTTATTACTCCGTTAACAATTGGATATTGTTTTGTTTGTTCTTTAGATAAAATTGTTTTTAATTGTTTTCACGTTTCTTGCAATTTTCAATGCATTCATTAAGTTTTTTGCTGAAGGCTTCAGCCAATTCCACCTTTTTGAAACGCACCGCTAGCTTTTCCAATTCTCCCTCATTGGATTCGGCATAATTTAATGTAGCCCAAACAAAACTTTTGGGATTGTTATTCATATTGTTGAAATGGAAGTCAGCATTGACTGCATGATTCAAGACCAATTTATGGATTTGTTCACGACGCATAACCAAGCGATAGCTTTGTTTGGCTGGATGTAGTAAAAGTTTTAATTCACCAACACCTAGAAAGACAAAGATAAAATATTGATTTACGTTCAAGAAAACTAAACTATCTAACAAACTTGCCTCTCTCTTTCCATTCTTTATTGGTGGCATCCCAACGATATAGTACTGCCCGCTCTCCAAACAATTTGGTTTCCTCCTCTTCACCTGTGCTGACCACAACTTCATTGGGTAATTCTATGATGGGATCATAATGAGGATCATAGTTTTCTTCATTATCATCACCGCCTCCTTCACCACCGCCTACACTTTTTTGCGATTCATTTGCTTTTGTGGTGGAAGCATTTTTATCCGAAGCATCTAATTCTGGTTGAGGTTTGGAGAAATTGGAAAAAGCATTTTGATGTGTTAAACCGATAAAGCCTCCAGGGCCAGGTTTATCAGTAGATTTTGTAAAGGAGTTAGAATTTGAGCCGGCTTTAGCCAAACTGGCAAAATCAATTGAGGCTGTTGAGGTTTTTGATAAATCTACAAATGCTGTTGCGGATTTGTCACCAGTCTGTGAAGGATTTGCATTAGATTTGGCTGCCAAACTGGCAAAGTCTACAGCTGCTGTTGATGTCTTAGATAAATCGGCAAATGTAGTACCAATTGCTGCTGATGAAGGTGTTGCATTAGTGTCTTTTGCTAAACTACCAAATGTAGGCAGAGCCGAGGAACTTGAGCCAAATATTGAACCTTGTGTATTATTCGAACCAAATCCTCCAAAACCAGTCGTTGTGTTAGTAGATGAGCCGAATATGGAATTGCCAGTACCATTACCGCCACTTTGTGTGGTATTACCAGAATTACCAAATATCGATTTGGTGGTATCATTAGCAGTTGTACTGGTGGCACCAAAAATGGGAGCTGAACTGCCGAATACAGGTTTTCCGCCAAATATTGGAGCAGAGCTTGTGTTAGTGCTACTGCCGCCAAAGATGGATTTCGTTGCTGTCTTATCTGCTGATGTGGTTGAAAAACTGAGGGTATTTTCTTTGGCAGCTCCACCAAATATCGATCCACCACCTACATTAGTTGTAGCGCTCGAGACTGCCGAGCCAAATAAGAAACCTCCAGAACCTGCTGTTCCGAATGGCTTCGTTTCTTCTGCAGGTTTAGTGGTACTATTCAGAGCAGCTGCAAATGAGAATGTGGTATTTGTAGGTTTTTCTGTTGCTGCAGGGGCAAAAGCTGTAGAATTGGCTCCACCAAATCCAGAGAATATACTATCATTCATTTTAGTAGTATCTGCCTTAACATTTGTCTTTGACAAAGGACTTTGCTTTAATAAAGTGCGATTTACAGTCGTTTTGTTGATAGTTAAAGCAGGCAACTCCATAACATCCAATGGATTTTGAGTATCCTCCTTGTTAACAAATGGTGTTAGATTTTTAACTTCAGCAAAAACAAACTTATCAGGATCACAACCTCTACAACCGGTACATGCTGTTTTTGTTGCATAGAACTCATGGGATAATTTTAATTTATCTGCTTTCTTTTTATCCTCTTCACTTATGCCTAAAGCTGTTGATGGTGCCTGAGTATTTGTGGGTGTCGCAATGGAGGTATTAGCTGGTGACTCAATAACCTCTGCTGTTCCATCTAGAGCCTTCTTAACTGCTGTCATAAATTCTTCCGCCACTTCTTTGGTCTTAAAACGCAAAGAGAATTTTTCCAATTCAACCTCACCTTCACTGAAATCATTAACCACAAAGAGCCAAGATTTATCGTCCTTGCGCTTATAGTCAACATCTTCGTTGAGCACATGATTTAGACAGATTTTTAGAATTTGTTCACGTCTCATGACAACACGTAATTTTTTGTTTTCCTTGTGACGTAAGATTTTGACATTACCCAAACCTCTCTCTTTCCATTCGCCATCAATGAAACGATATAATTTAGCCCGATGTACATACAAAAGCTCTTCGTCTTCTTCGCCGGTTTTCACTTCAATCTTTGGAGAATTTGACATGGAAATGGGAAATAAAATTAATAAATAAATTTTATGTTTATGTAAACAAGTTAGAGTGCTATATACGACTAGACTATAGAAAAGTGTGGACTACAGACTGGACTGTAGTCTTCAGTCCAGACTATAGTTGAGGCAATAGACTATAGTCCAGATAATAGGCTATGGTTTAGACAATAGACTATAGTCCAAACTATAGACTATAGTCCAGACTATAGAGGAGATAATATACTATAGTCCAGACTATGGACTACAGTCCAGATAATAGACTATAAACTTTAGTCTAGACTATAGACTAGACTAATGAAATTTATTTAAAAAACTTACCTTATCTGGCAATGGTATAACAGGTGTGAAATATGTATTATTCTCTTCCTCTTCATGATACTCGGCTTCACCATCATCATCGGCGGCGCCACCATCGGCATCACCGCCAGCACCTCCGAATTTCAAAGGACTTTTACCCGTCTTACCAGGACTCTTGGGTTTTAAAGTGAAACTAAATTCTTTCTTATCCAATGAAAAGGTATTTGGTGTTGATTCCCCGCC